TAAGCAGGTGGAATGTGGGAAGCAGGGAATGACATTCAGTATAATTTAACTAATGTCCCCATGAGTAAAGATTAGGCCAGGAGCAATCTGCTAAAATGTCATACAGACACCTCTGCAAACACCATTTATGTGCAATGAAAAGAACAGTAATAGGATAGTGGAAAACTTACAGACTCCTTTTCTTGGGCGGTTATTTTAGCTGTTTCGGTATCCGCAGGCATAGGAATCTGCAATGCCTTAAACTGTGAAAATTGAGGAAATAATAAATGAAATGTGTAGCTTCTGGTTTCCAAATTTATGCATACCATATGTACCTTCCTCCTTCTATCTATATTTCTAATTCAATAGTAAAGTACATAGTTTCCAATATCTCTGGATTAGGCTCTTGTACATTTATTGTCCTGTTGTATAAACAACTTTCAACCATAAGATCTAAATTCTCATTCCAATTATCTATTGCAGACTAACCTTAAATATCTGACAAAAGAACCGGATTCATTTACACATTATCTCCTAGGAAAAAAAGCACCACTTTATGAGATTTAATGTCTGGGCAACCAACCTTTTGGCTTTGCTTGGCTGTACTGAGTGAAGAGGAATTGTCTTGAGCCACATATAAAATATATAATATGTTTAATGTATACAAATATTGCAAAAATCACATAATAATAAGAGTTTAAGATCTTATGGGGCCAATTTACTTTGTTTCCAGGGCTGCATGTGGCCAAGGGGCCATGGATTGGGCAATTTATTCCATTAAAAAATCTCAAAAATCTCAAATCTCCTTATTCTAGTAGCTCACACCCTTCTTCTCCACGTTAGTTCCCTGAGTTTCAAAGTTTAGGAGTTATCCAGTGAGCAAAAAATCTGAAATAGTTGCCATTTTGCTGCGAGAGAAATTTTGCAGTTTTAAAATTTAGCTGATGTTGCCCCAGGACAGAAGTCAGTTTGCAAGAAGAGGCAATAAGGCACAAGAGCTAATTTTAAAATCTTTTGATATCACAAGTCTTATAATAAATGCGGTGTTCTCACACATTATTTTAAAAGAATCATGCTTAAATTTCACCAGATTTATAGATTCAGTGTGGTTTTGGTAGTTTTTCCTCCCTTATTACGGTACATTGGGCAGCCTATCATCTGGAGCCCAGGTCAGAGTAGACAATTCCTTTCTATGGAAGGAACTACAGCTGGATCTCCTGCCTGGCTGTGTGACCAATTAACCCAACACTTTGCCAATGAAATTGCTCTGATTTGCATAAATCTTGGCACTTCGTAGGGAAAATTCCCTGAGATGACTGCAGCAATGTTGTGCCATGTTATCCAGACACTAACCAGTCATTAAGTGAGGACCTTACATGATCAGAATCCTAGGTAAGCAGGGTCTTCCCAGCTACTACTACGTGGGCAGGATGAAACCATGATCAGCCTAGCTTAAGCTGATACAACAGTTGCATACCTACTTAGAACAAGTTCTTGCAATAGTGATTCATGCCCACATCCTCTCATCTGAAGAGCTGAATCCCACTTTACACACACATTTACTTCTGAATATCCTTGAAAGCTTCAGTGGCTTGGTGCTGACAGTTCCTTGGTATCGGTTCAGTGTTTTGCTTTAGGACCCGAACATGAGTGCAGTACTGTGCTTTAGGACCTGAACTAGCTTCCAATTAGCTCCTAAATACAATTCAAAGTGCTACATAACTTGGGATGAGAATACTTCTAGAAGCACTTTTTCCACCCAATTTTGAACTGCCAGACTTGAACATATCACAAAAATCTGCTTGTGAATCCCAACTTTTGCCAGGTAAGAAATATGAAGGCTCATAGCCACATCCCAGTTGAAGCATTTTGGAATAGCATCCTCCCAGAGATTTGATTTGCACCACCCCCACTCTACTTGCTTTCTCTAAATCAGGGGTGTCAGATTGGCAGCTTGAGGGCTGGAGGCATCACACATAGGCCACACCCACCCCAGCTTCAGGGGAAAATGTTGCAAAACATCATGTGATGGCAATGTGATGCAGCAAGTTTGACACCCGTGCTCTAAATTGTTAAAAAAAAAGGGGGGGGGGAGTATTTCAAATAAACTGAGAGGGATGAATTGGTGCTATCACATTTTTATTGGTGTTTATGAACTGCCAAGTCTCTTCTAAATGCAATGGAATACAACTCAAACACCCAAAAATTTAAAAGTGCCTTGCCTTCTTTTCAAATTCATCCACTAAAGTAGGGTTCATAACTGTAGTCTTGTAGAAAGTCCAGTCAATGGCTGGTGGTGTCTCTGGCAAAGACGCAAGCCTATTTAGATACATAAAAGTCATTTTTCATTCTTGAGCTTCACAACAAGAAAAGTCAAACAAATATCTGGATACCAAAATAAAAACTTGATTAACAAAGACATGTTATGTTTAAAGATCTGTTGGATGGAAAGAATTACTATCTGTACCAAAATTTCCCATACCTAGTGTAATCATATTTACTAACAATGACTGAGAGGCAATCAATATAGTCTTATTATTTAGCTATTTAACTCTTTATTTAAATTTAATTTAATAGTAAAATCATAGGAACAGTTCTGTTTAAGGATGTCACTAGATCTGAAAGCATGTCCATGTCAATAATCAGTACACCTATGTCTTATGGTACTCTTTACAAACTAAGAAATATACTCACTTGGCTGCAATAGCATCACTACGTGATTTGAAAGCATTGAACATAAGTTTCTGATCAGCTGACACTCGTTCAGCAAATGCTGCCCAATCTATTGCTTTCAGAGCAACCCTGCGGCCAGCCATTGTTATGACCTAGAAAATGGGAAGAGATAGAGAGTAAGGAATAAAGGAAATAGATAAGAAAATAACATAGCAAGTGAGGTATAAAGGAAGTGAACAATGGACATTTGTAAAAAAAAAAATTCAACCAAATGAAAACAAGAACTAAAATGCATCATAGATTTATTCAGAAGTAAATCTGGTGTTTGGTGGTGTGGTTCAGGCACCAGGCTAGAAACCAGGAGACTGTGTGAGTTCTAGTCCCACTTTTTAGGTCGGGGGATGTTTCAAAATCATGCAATTTCGATTTCATTAAAAAAAGAAAGACAGATAGCTTTTTAAAAAGCTGATACTAGCAGGATCGTTTGCTCCGAGAGATCAAGCAATTCCCCCCCCCCCCCCCCCATAATTATCCCAAACAAAACAGCTAGCGATTTTTTTTCCTATTTTAGCATCTGTTTTGCTAGCCAAGGGGAAACCACGCTGAAGAGCAAATGTCTGTCCCTGGAGGCGCCATCAAAGAACCCAGACCCGCGCCATAACGAAACGAGAAGCATTACAGGCAAAAAGATTGCAGAGGAAAGCCGGTTAACACGCAGGGATTGTGACCCTCCCAAAGGACGTCGAGGTTCCTCACCTTCACCCACCCCGGGAACTTCACCGCCGGAAAAGGCTCCCGGAACCAAAGACTGACAGGGAACAACGGGCCCAATCGGGACGACTCTCTCCTGAAAGAGGGCGGCCCTTGCCGTCTCATAGACAGCGCAAAAGGCGAGAGCGCAGCCTGCTCTTCTCCGAACGGCAAGCAGAGCCAAGGCAAACTACCTGCCTATGGAGATTCTCACTCATCACACTCATCACCCAGATCGTGGTTGTCCCAAAGATGCTTTTTCAAGAGGCTTCTTCAGCTCTTCTTGGATGAGAAGCGAAACGTCTTCAAAGAAAAACCAAGAAAGTCCAGTTGCCTCTTGAAAAAGCACCTTTAGGACAAGGCAAACTACCGTAAAGTCAGAAGCGAGGGGGGTGAGCTTGGCTTTGCATGGGCCCAGGGATGGTGGTGGCTTCAGGGGGCAAAGTGGTTGAACCTTGCTTCGAATTGAAGTTTTGGGCTCTCCCGGTGCTTGGGCAAGTAAACTTGTCATCCCCATGAGTTCCCTTAAAATATAGGTAATCCTCAATTTATACGACCACAACTGAGCCCCAAATTTCTATTGTTAAGTGAGACATTTGTTAAGTGAGTTTTGCCCCATTTTATGACCTTTTCTTATCAGAATTGCTAAGGTTCACAAGTTCATAAATTAGCCATCCAGTTGTTGTGAATCTGGTTTCCCCATTGACGTTGCTTGTCATGTCGCAATGACCTTGGGACATAGCAACAGTCATAAACATGAACCCAGTTGCCAAGTATCTGAATTATAATTGCATGATCATGGGGATGCTGCAAAGATTGTAAGTGTGAAAAATGGTCATGAAACATTTTTCAGTGCCATTGTCACTTTGAACAGGGACTAAATGAACTGTTGTAAGTCGAGGACTACTTGTGCCTTCCATTTCTGTTCTTTGCAGAACTGTGTGCTTATATTACCTAAACTACAATCTCTAGCCACGACCGAGTCTCCATCTTCTGCTCTTAAGTTCTGCCACAAAATCGGGTCTCTCTGCCCCGTTACATTCAATCGATGACGACTAGTAAGCGATTGCTTTTAAGAAGCGTTTATTTAGAAGTAAAATCATAATATGAAAAGGTTGCAAATGCTATCGGGGGAGGGGGGATAACCCAAACTTCTGTGGCTAAAAAGTCCATCTTTTTAGCCACCTCTATCCACCCCACCCATGCCGCCCCTGCGATTGCAAAGCAGGTATATAGTAAAGTTATCTTCTCCCTCTCGAAAGGACGGTGCAAATTGTTTTATTTATTTATTTATTTATTTGATTTGCCAATTGTTTACAAGATAATAAGTATAAATGTATACATAGTTGTGAATACATGAAATGGTTACATATAAGAAAAATAAATTGTATTAAAATGTTTTTTTTTTCTGTCTTCTCCGTGAAGCAGACTCTAAACATCGCCTCCGAAAGAGAACGGGCTTTTGGTTTCAATGTTTGTTCCACTAAGAAATTAATTAGGAACGTCCACTACAAATCAAGAAGTGCCGATCAAAACTCTAGGGGTTTATGGCACGGTTGCCTATGTATTTCCTTCCGGTGTGTCTCCATCACCTTTCCGACTGTTATTTCCATCTCGACTGATCGAATTTACTTGTTCCGATTCCCTTTAAGGGTGGAACGTCTGGAACGAAGCCGGGTTCAGGCGCAGTCATTCGAATCGGAGAGCGCTGGATGACCCGGAAGAGATTCTTCCTCCCGGAAGTCCGGCGTTCCCTGTCAGCAGTGACTGAGGGGATGGCTGCCGAGCCTCGACCAAAGCAGCTCCAGTCTTTCCGCCCGGGCCGCTGACTCAACAAAGGGACCACCGCTCGCCCACCCAGGGGAAAAGCCGCAGCCGAGTATGGCGGAGTTAGTGGCTGGGGAGGGGCAGCCACGAGGCCGCACGCCCAGCCCGCTCCCAATCTCGGGGCCGCCGAGCCCTCGGCCAGCTGCGGCCCCCGCCTGTCCCGCGCGGAGTCCGGAGCCTCCGCCGCCCGAGAAAGCCGCGGCGGGGAGCGGCGGCGGCGGCTCCAAGTGGGTCCGGCTCAACGTGGGCGGCACTTACTTCGTGAGCACCCGCCAGACCCTCTGCCGCGAGCCCAAGTCGTTCCTCTGCCGCCTCTGCTGCCAAGAAGGGCCCGAATTGGGCTCGGACAAGGTGAGCGGGCGCAGCGGCCGGGCCCTAAATCGCATCCCTCCCCCTTTCGCCTGCAGGCCGGCACACCCAGAATGACGGGCGTGGCATCTGCGGGCGCTATTGCAGGTAGTCCTCGACTTACGGCCACAAATGGGTCCTGGAGTTTGGGTTGTTACCCGAGAATCTTGTTAAGTGAGTTTTGCCCCACCTTTCTTGCCACCACAGTTGTTAAGTGAGTCACTACAGTTGACAAGTCAGTAAAACCGGGTTGTTCAGTGAATCTGCCTTCCCCCTTGACTTTTGCTTGTCAGAAAGTCACAAAAATGAAAAACACATGACCGGCCATAATAAGTATGAACCAGTTGCCAAGTATCTAAATTTTGATCAAATGTCCATGGGGATGCAGCAAAGGTTGTAATTCTGCAAAAATGGCCATAAGTCACTTTTTTCAGTACTGTTATAACTTTGAATGGTCACTAAATGAACTATTGTAAGTTGAGGACTATGTAGTTTTCGCCTTTCTTTTCACCCTCCTAGCCACCTCTCCTGCATTTCTGATGTAACAGGGTAGTCATATTTCTAGAAGCAAGCCAAGTTCCTTGCAGAACTCCAGTTTTAACCATAATCACAAATTTTAGACTTAATGAAAAGGACAAGGGGTGTACAGCTCAGTGGCACTTCTAGACTGCATCTAAAAATGGAGCATAAGTTCTTTGCACATATAGACATACACACACACACACACATTTGATTTGCTGTGCTGTTCTTTTCTGTATTGATAGTGTTTACAGAAGATGCTGAGCCATTGTTAATAAGCAAAACTGATTTGTAGAACACTATGTTAATATGGTTGCACTCACAGCATCTAAGCTATGACATTGTAACGACTTGGTTTAATCACTATGGCTGTAAACCAGGATGTTTAGCATTCTGTTTAAAGTTTTGGCTTAGCTTGAATATAGAAGATTATTAAAAGCACTGCTTTTGTATAGCTTTCCTCTTGACCAGTCTTATTTACCTTAATTGTGAATATTAGTCTGTAATCAAACACTTCAACAATGAAGGTATTGTCAGTAAATAACTTGAATTTAGTCTATTTACCTTGGTGTAATGAGTGTAATTAGAAATGGTTTATTAAAAACATGCCTATTTATATTTATATATGCTATGTATTTATAACATGCATAAATAATTCTATATTCTATATCTTTCAGAATCAGGAGTATAATATCTTCATCTTTTGTAGCATTTCAGTACTTCAAATGCATTAAATTTGTATTCAGCCTATTGCTTCTAGAGGAAAGCTTTATTAAGAGCTTTCCAAAATCTCATTAGTTCCACTTGCTAATTTTACCTTGTTTTTCTGGAAAGGTTGAAGTGAGGAGGTATTCTGATTGCCAATTCAATGGCTTCCCCATTCCACTTTTCCTATCCCGTGTTACCTCTTCTTAGCAAGTACTTTTGTTGCCAGTATAGCCATAAAATTTGCTAAACCATAAAATTAATCTTAAGCATACATATGGGAAAAGTAGCATAAACTCATTGAAAGGGTGACAAAAAGATACTCTAACCCAAAGTAGTAGAAAGGAGAACGCAACCTTATTTCCAACAACTGTTCTATAACAAGATCCAGAGTATATTCAGTTCCTTGCCCACAGACCCGATAAATTATACACTGTACTTGAGATTAACTTTTTCTCTCATACAGTTTTTCAGTTTTATATCTATAATATAAATAATGTTTTTTTTAAAAATCAATATCTGTATACAAAGCAGCTTCTTTCTCCGGTACTTAAAGCTGTGTGCCAAAGTATAATTTAGAGTGGTTGCTTTAGCATAAAATCATTTATAATGTCAATGCAGAGGATTCTAAATCTCCTGTAAAAAATTTTTACTTAATTGTGTTCCTTAGAATTTAATTTTAAATGCAATGCTTTAGATAATAGTGAAGTTATGATAGTTATAGAGGGATATCAAATTTGTGGTCTTTCCTTTCACTTCCAAGTGATACAGTCCTTGCATATTTACTTGATAAGTCCCATTGAGACCAACTGTTTTCACAAGAAATAAGCTGTACAAATCCTTACAGATTTCACGTTTATGTTAATGGAGTTTTGAGATCAGTCTCTCCAAGATCATTAGCTAAGTAGGCCCACTGAGTTCAGTAGGATACATTCCCAAGTATGTGTAGCTTTAGTGGGTTTTCTTAAATAAGTTTGAGCCAAAGGTGGTATTCAGCAGATTCTGACCAGTTCTGGAGAGCCGGTAGTGGAAATTTTGAGTAGTTCAGAATACCACCTCTGACTGGCCCCGCCCCCATCTATTATCTGCCTCTGCATCAGCTGGGTCTTCTTTTGTGGCCCTGCACAGGAGAACAGAGCTGGAAAGCAGGTTAGTGGGGTAGGGAGGGAATGGGATTTTACAGTATCCTTCCCCTGGAGTGGGGTGGGAATGGAGATTTTGCAGTACTCTTCCCCTGCCACGCACACCAAGCCACACCATGCCCACCAAGCCACGCCCACAGAACCGGTAGTAAAAAAATTTGAATCCCACTACTGGTTTGAGCCAATAAATAAAAAAAATTAAATGTTCTGGATTTATTTTTATGAAGAATATTTTTAGGCTACCAAAAATGTTGATGTAATTTATAGATTTATTAGATACACATATTTCAAGTGATAAAAAACTTTCCTAAGGATTTAGTAATAATAATCAGTGAAATATGTTTATTTTTTCTGTGCATTAATTTAATTTTGGGGGAAAGCTTGTGACATAATTAAGAGCAGATTATTCCAAATAGATAAACACATAATTTTCTAGTTAGATACTGCCAAGGTACATAGGCCACGGTCTGTCTTTTTAAAATTATGTCACAGAATCATCTAACACAAGTAAATGTAGAACAAGATATTCGCTGATGCAAGAATTTGGCTCCTTTCTCAGAGAACCATATTCTCAGATTCGTGACAGTTGGTTCCTTGTCCAAATGTCTGAATGCCATTAGAATATCTTCCTTTAGCAGCAGACTATAACAGCATTATTATCTCCTTACAGGATGAAACAGGGGCATATCTCATTGATAGGGATCCCACATATTTTGGTCCAATCCTGAACTACCTCCGGCATGGAAAACTCATAATAAACAAGGAATTGGCAGAAGAAGGTAAGAAAAACACAACTTTGATAAATGTATAAATCTCTTTTGAAAGTTAGGGATGTTTAATTCCACCCAGAGTTGTTGAGAGTTGGGCAGCATACAAATTTAATTGTGGTAGTATTAATAGAGGTTTGTTTTTGCCTGAGCCCAGAATTAAGTGTATTTAATTTCATTGATTTCATGATCTGTGTATTTTTAAAATATATTAGAAAGTCTATGTTACTCAGATGCACTGTGGAAAATCAGTACAAAATCAACTTGTTCAAATAGGCGTGTATTTATGCCCATGCAGGGAGGTATCCTTGATAGTGCTTCCTTTAGAGCATTATTTTGGGTCTATTATATTAGCATTTGCTTTCCAATGGAACATAGCCTCTAAATACAAGCTTCTTTTCATAAAGAGAATCAAAAGAGAAAACCTTTCTTGAATCTCCATGTTATCACCATAAGGAGTTTTATTCACAAGATGTTTCTTGATTTTTATTCAGTTTTGTTTGGATTGTACCTAACAAAATATTTTGATATAATTTTGTTGATTTCCAGATTATTTGTTGAGTTAAATAAATGGACAGCTCTTGAGTTTCATTTGGCTGCCAAATGGCATATTATTCAGCCTTCAGTGTTGGAGATTATGTCTTTAGAATTTGGCAGCAAGAATTATTTTGAGAAATTGGAAAAACAGTAATATTTTTGATATTAAGGATTTGTTTCAAGATATATGTAATATCTATTTTTTAAAAGGCAATTTTATCTCCCAATTAAAAAACTAACTCATTAATGTATCCTTTGGTATAGATTTTATGACATTTTGTAATGTTAGATACCATGATATTTTAAAATACAAACCAGAAACTGATTAGACATTTAATGAATATGTGATATATATATGTACAGTTTTCCCCTTGTTTTTGTTTTGCGGTTGTATTTCCTGTTGATTTTTTTTTTCATATAATTATCTTCCTCTTTTTTCTACTTCTTGCTGTAAAACTTGTTAAGATAAAGCTAATAAAAAAAAGAACTTGGCACTAAGATAATCATATAACCATCAGTGCAGTTTTGCCTCTGGGATGCTTCTTGTCCCCATCCTTAAAATCTCTAAAGGGCTGAAAAGTATATTTTTCAATATTTTGGTAACTTAAGGATCTGCTTCTGAGAGGATTTGTGTTTCCATCCACATTCTTAGATTTTTAGAAACCCAAGCTGAAAAAATTCAGCTGCACTCTTTACATTAGTGTCACAGCATCTCTGGGCATTCCTCGGTGCCCTTTCAGACAATAAAAAAGCTGAGTTGTGGCACCCAACTCTTCAAATACAGAATGTCCTGAATTAAATTATAAATTGTTTATATTCCCCAGTCCCAGACATGCAGCAAGATCAGATCTGAAAGTTTTCTGATCAAGAGATGTTGTAATTAACACAGATGTATAGTAACCTTTCCTTCTTACAAATGCTGAAGCCATGTTCTGCATCCTTATTCCTAGGCGTCCTGGAAGAAGCTGAATTTTACAACATTGCATCTCTAGTGAGGCTGGTGAAAGAGCGAATACGAGACAACGAAAGCAGAACTTCTCAAGTAATTCACGTTAGAAAGAAAATAAATATTGTGTCCCTCATATCCTAACATAGGTTACCATTTGATATGGTAGGTTTGTGTGTTTCCTGTGGCATAAGAGCCATGTCAAAGGAATGTGGTATTATTAGTTTCTGAAGTTTTTCACTAAAACATTCTACTTTCCCTTTCTAGCTTTTAACAATTACGGTGGCTAGAAGCATGCTTTTAAACACGTTTACAAATGTTTTTTTCTATGAGCGTCTTCCATCTTAATATAATAGTAGTATTACCATCATTTCAATAATATACTATTATTTAGAAAACTTACAATCCTGATTTCTAACTTGTTGGTTTCCCCTTTTAACCCAGGGACCTGTCAAGCATGTTTACCGAGTTCTGCAGTGCCAAGAAGAAGAACTCACCCAGATGGTGTCTACCATGTCTGATGGATGGAAATTTGAACAGGTATCTGTTAAAAGATTCAGAAGTTGGGCTAATTCACCGGATATTTTATGTCATTTTGCTTGTTTATTTATTACATTTATATGATGTTCATCTCACTAACAAATAACGCAGGGTGCAAATATGCCTGATAAGTATATATCATATGAAAATTCTATATTGTAGCCTGATTATTAATCATAAAAAGGGTAAAGATTTCCCAGGTGCCTGAATTTAGGAGGTGGTGCTTCTCTCCGATTCACAGCTGAAGAGCCAGCGTTGTCTGAAGACCCTTATGTGGTCATGTGGCAGGCATGACTATATGCTGAAGGCACATGGAACACTGTTACCTTCCCATCGAAGGGGTACCTATTTATATGCTTGTATTTACATGCTCTCGAAGTGCTAGATTGGCAGAGCTGGGCAGGTAGCCAAAACTCACTCCCTCATGCGGTACTTATGTTTAAAACTTGACAAACTTTTAGCTGACAAGCCCAGCGTCTTAACCACTTATTTGCTGCACCCCCTGATTATTAGGCATAATTACTCTGTAATGAAACAGATATTTTTTTCCTGATTAGAACTAGTATAATAAATATCCTTATAGGATTTCATAGCACAAGAAAATGGTTCTTTCAAGACAGTAGTCTTCACTATTGCATTCAAGTACAGTGTGTCTTGTCATTGAGCAGTATCCTAGGAAGAGATAATGATCATTTCTCAACCCTCTGATACACTATTCTTAATTCAACCACCATACATTCAGTGATGGTCCCTATATTCTGTAAATTATTGAAAGCCAGATAATTTGAGTTGCAGAGTTGAATGGAGTTGCCTGTGGTAGAATTCAGAATACTGAAAAGGTTCATTTGGTTCTTGTCTTCTAAGTTACACTTTTATCTACTTACTTTGTGAAAAGACAAAATAAAAGTGTATTGACTCCTGTTTAATACATAGAGTCAACTTATTCTTTACCATTGTTGATAATGTGCAGATACTATTGAAAGTTCTGTCCCCTACAATCTAAAACATTCTCCTGATTTTGTTTCAATTTGCTATAGCAATAGCAATAAGACTTATATACCGCTTCACAGTGCTTTACAGCCCTCTGTAAGTGGTTTGTAAAATAAGTATATTTCCCTCAACAAACTGGGTCCTCATTTTACCAACCTCGGAAGGATGGAAGGCTGAGTCAATTTTGAACCATGCAGAATCAAACTCCTGGAGTGAGCAGTGAGTTAGCCTGTAGTATTGCATTCTAAGCACTGCGCCACGACGGCTCTCTCTTAACTACTGGATTTCTGTCCCCTACAATCTAAAACATTCTCCTGATTTTGTTTCAATTTGCTATAGCAATAGCAATAAGACTTACATACCGCTTCACAGTGCTTTACAGCCCTCTGTAAGTGGTTTGTAAAGTAAGTATATTTCCCCCAACAAACTGGGTCTTCATTTTACCAACCTCAGAAGGATGGAAGGCTGAGTCAATTTTGAACCATGCAGAATCAAACTCCTGGAGTGAGCAGTGAGTTAGCCTGTAGTATTGCATTCTAACCACTGCGCCACGGCGGCTCTCTCTTAACTACTGGATTTCTGTTTTTGGGATAGTTATTAGAGCTGCACAAAGATCTGAATTCAAGGAGCAAAATATGATTAAGAGCATAAAGAAGAACATATGTAGCATCTGTCAGGAACTTCATAAAGCAGCCCTCCCACAGGTGCTACATGATCTCAGGAAAATATACATTTATTTATAAAAGATACATTTATTCATTTATTCGAAGGTGTTCCTGACAGGTATTGCATGAATGGCTGGTCCTGCAGCTATGGCTAAATCTACAAAGCCTAGTTCTATATTTTTTTAGTGCTAGGATACATGAATAGCTATTCACCCTACCAGCATGGAATAGTCCTAAAATTTGGTGTTTTACCCAGCTATCTCTGGAGCTCCTAGCCACATAATTATTTTCTTTATTTTAAATAATATTGATTTTATAGAATGATCCTGTATTGCTTAAATAATAGTAGAAATAATGAGAGAGTAATTAATATGGAAGTGATTGGTGCTGTTTCTGCAAATAGAATCAACATGTACAGGGTTACCAAGTTGAGCTCTATAAATGGTTTATTATATGAATCACATTTGGTGATCATATTAGTTGCTATTTACTTCTAAACATGCCCTTTTAGATGCATGAGCTTTGAACATTCCTAAATACAGCAACAATTTCTCTGAAAATATATTAATAAAACATATTGAGATTCACCTATGACTCCTGATATCTGGTATACCTGTATATAGTTGCATAACAAAACAGAAGATCTGTTAGTATTTTGATCTGATGGAAGTCACATGGTACATCATACTGTTTTTAGAATTCAAAAGCATAATATGAGCATGCTTTTTCACCTTCTAAACGTTAAAGGAAATTAAAAAGTACTTTTCTTGCAAATCTGTAACTCAGTTGTTATAAGACTGATCTTATGTTCATCTTCTATTGCTATTTTTAACATCATTTCCTTTTTAACAGTTAATTAGTATTGGATCTTCATACAACTATGGAAATGAAGATCAGGCAGAATTTCTCTGTGTTGTATCGAGAGAGCTCAATAATTCGACCAATGGCATTGTCATAGAGCCTAGTGAGAAAGCAAAGGTGAGAACTTTTGTGATTGTAATCCTTCAATTTTCTTATTCATTAAATGGCCTAAAAATAGATAACAAGTGGATATTTTTATAATCATTGTTTTAAACATATTTAAACAGAAAACAAAAACTACAAATGATAAAAGAATAAAAATTAAAAATGGAGAATACAGGAAAATATATAGATAGAAAAAATTAAAAAAACATATAGCAGAGGGGGAAAATATATAACAAAATAACTTTCCCCTTTGTTGCAACAAGTTTAAACAGATGCAATAACTTTTCTTAAAATACAAAAAACCCACTTTATCCCATATCACATCTCATGTCTATAACAGATCCTTACAACCATTTAATTCAGTCCTAGTCAGCAAAAGTCCAAAAAGAAATGCCAGAAATAACAACATATCTATTTTAACCTTGATCAAATAAATCCACTTTGTATTCCTTTCTTTTACTTTTAACAATTATAATTTTTAATTTTGATAATGTCCTAGAGTTGGTTTGCTTTTCATTTCTTTCAGAATTTTAACAGATGTCTTTTGCAAATCCAATATTAGAAAGTAATTGAAGATATTCTTTGGGCTTGCCGGTTGCACATCCTTTTCAATTATTTCATTTGTATATTCAGTGTAACATTTTGTCCATATCAACTTGCAGGCTGTCATTTTGAAATGAACTTTCAGATCAATCCCAGTTCTATTTGACAAAACTTGTTCCTCTTCTGTATGGTTAAAATACCAGTACCAGGCTGCAATAATATATATATTTAACTATATCCTGGTTGGTATACTGTGACACACACTGTTGAATATTTGGGATTTCTGTTCACAATATGCTAGCTATGACATGCAAAGAAACCCTCTTGTGATGACTTGGAATCAGTGTATTAGAAATACGGTAGATTCTTGAGAGGGAGGATGATTTCCAGCTCTCTTCTTTATTGTTGCAAGAAACGTTTCTCAAGTGAAATGCTTCTTCTTTTTTTTCCAGATTCTTCAGGAGCGAGGATCACGGATGTAATCCAAGCATCTAACTTTAAAACTCCCAGATGTTAAAAGAGCAACTTAGCAGGGCAGAGCATTTCTCCTGCAGTCCAACCTTGCTTTTGTACAGTAATAAAACTAACACAAAGCAAAGCTGAGCCTGTCCTGCCAATGGAGAATTAAATCCTGTTAAAAACCAAAGGCTCATCCCACCCCAGTCACAGAAAGCTAAGAGAAAAGAAGAGAATCTTCCAGCTGGAGAGCGCCTTTGCTTTTTTTTTCCTTGCTGTCTTGGCATTGACACATGTTTGGGGGATATATATATATATATATATATACACATTTATATTTATATCATCACAGGCCTGGATAAAGAGCAGACTTTTGGTTTCACACTGCTATTTCTAATGCTTCAGTTAGAAAAACTGTCCTAGTTAGAGTCATTCAGGTCCAGGGAAAATAGCTTTGAAAATGAATAATTAAATATTTTTTCTTCCATTTTCATTCACCAATTTTTTTTTTAATATGTTACTAGTTCAGAAAGTTGAGTGAGGGATGTGGTTTAGCTGAAGGTTTTTCTTCTGATAACACTACAAATCTAACTGTAGGCATTTCTTGCAGTACAGTTTGGTCAGCATTCTTCATGCTTTTAAGGTGTCCAATTACCTGTGATATTTAGATTCTGTCATATTGTTTCTTATTCTCTGTGAAAGGAGAGGAAAGAAGGACGCTTATACCCCATTTCTCTCACCAAAGCAGAATGTGTCCTTTGGGTTATTTCAAACAGTTCATTGATCTGGAAGATTTGTTCCTGCCAAGTTCAGCTTTGCCTTGTCTTGAATAGCATGAAACTATTCCCTTGTTCTCTTGATGTCCTGCTTTAAAGCAGGTTTTCATTTGTACTCTGGTTATCAACTCTTACCTAGTACATTCTGGAATAGAGAGTCTTTTATTTACACATTATGATTCTGTGCTTTAAATTTCTTGTCCCTCCTTGTGTCCTCTCACCCAAAATGACTAAAGGGCATTGCACAGGTTGGGGAGGGTGGGTGGGGCAGGGAGGTGTAAAATGATGACAGTTGCCAAACTATTGTGATGTTTCTTGTCCAAAGTGATTCGTGAACTTCTGTATTTTTTTTCTGTTGGAATGCCTTGAATGGAAGTAACAATGTTGTGCCTCTCTGAATTCTAATCTTAGACAAGTGGGACTTGCTGATTTTGTCAATTAATTTGTGCCATCCCTAATCAGTGAAATGCCCCTTCTAGTTGTGGGTAAATGGAATTCCTGGCTTTGTTTCTTGTTAGTCAACTTTGGCTTCTTGGCCTTTGAATTAAGCCCTGAGCATAATGAGCCAAAGTATCAAAGAAACTGCAGTACTTTGGTTTTCCCTAGGCAATAATTGAAGCTCCCATGTTAGTCAGTAATCGGAGTAGGATCCTTTATATTCCGATTGGTTTGCTTGGAATTGCTCAGCAAAGAGTTGCACTCAGTGTCTTTTTCATGTTTTATGGTGTGTGGTAATGAGGCTTCCCCTTTTATTTCTTTCCAGCAACAAAAGGAATGGTAACAAAGAGGATAGGGAATGGTTACCAAAAGCATGGAAGATATAATGCAGATGAAGCAAAAATATTTTAAAATGACATTTAACAGGGTATCAAATTATCCTGCTCCACATTCTCCATTAATCTTCAGTACTTGTGTACATATATCACTGAGCTTCCCCACCATTTTGCCAACATACCTCCAGTGATGTTTTGATGGGTTAGAGCTTGAATAATGTGCTTTATTCAGTCCCTGTAGCAACAGACTGTACCAAAGGTCTTGAGGTCAGCTTCTGGCTGCTAAACTCAACCAGTTTCATACTCTGTGGAACTCAAACAACTTTCTTGTCCTTCTTCATCCTTCCTGTTTGTAACGTATTGGTATCGGCATGGTCAGACAGTGTATGTCATGGCTGGATTTAACTAACACTGTGATGTGTACATAAATCTATGAGTATCTTGTTCTTTCAGCCGTTATCAGTGTATGTCCACAGCTGAGAAATAACCAGGTGTGTTTGTGTGTGTGTTGTGAGGAAGTATAAGAACCACAGGTGTATTCTCATAATCTCTTCTTCCAAGGAAGGGAGATTGTGGTGACATGAACTAGTTGAAAGAAAAAAAATCAGAGAATGCTGCCAAGAATAGCTGCCATTTCCAACTTGGCCTAACCCAACTCATTCCCCACCTTGCTGGGCACGTAGCAGTGTTAGGTTTGCTTGGAAGCAGATCTTAACTGTGTAGCTTTAGTAAACTAAAACAAATACCTCATTGATTTATGTTATGATCACCAGAAACACCATGCATGGGGAAGCCACATTAGAAGAGTGCCTGATGTCAAATTAATGAACTGGTAAAAGTAATTTTATTTCGTTGTACGTATAGGTGCCATTAAAAACAGCTCCATTTAAATCTGGAATAAAATCAGATTTGAGATGAGGCTGCTCTGTTACAGCAAGATTTGAGCTAAATGTAGAAAAAACAGTGTTTCTGCTGAATAAATAGGGCCACCCTCTTGTTCACTTGCTGCTGACAAGTTGTGAGAGGTTTCCAGCAAATTTAGTTTTTTTGTTGGAACATGAGTACCTTCTCTTTTCCTTCCCTTGTTAAATATTTCTGGTTATGGTTTGTGGGACCCACCCTGAAATGATGAGCAGTTTAGTTGGAGACAGAAACAGTATTAAAGATTGGGAAAGCTCTTGGCTTTCTTAATATAAGGGCTTGAATTCCAGCTACAGCAAGACACTATTCTAGCTCACCCACCTGGGATGTTCTTTTCTCAAGGTGAGAAGCCACCCCTAAATTCAAGAACCGACTTTCATGTTTTCCACCAGTTGTAACTTTGCCTTCTTAGCAACAGGGCTCTTCCTTGCCTTTGCCTTTATGTGGTTGAGACTAAACTAAAGTTGGAGCATGAATACAGATGCTGTTTCCCGATGAAAGGCAGTAAATGGCAAAGGTAGCCAGTGGTAGAATGGCTTTTCATCTGAGTGATGTGCATCTCTTGAGGTTTTCTTTAAACCATTAGCTAGCCCCTGGGGACCAGTACCTGGTAGAGAAACCCGGCGGCCCAATTGTTCCGTTAGAGCGAGGTTGGAGCTAACCTTCTCTTAAAAGTGTCTTTGTTTCTGCACATTTTTAATCAATTTTTCTCAGGGGTGACTGAATGGTCCGAGGGGGAGGGGGTTATCCACAAAGGGGTGGGGGTGGCTCCTCGGACCTTCACAACTGGGCCGTGGGCTCCTCACCCTCAGGTTTTGCTTGCAAGCCTAGAGGTTTTGTACAGTTTGTCACATGTCGGTGCCCTTTGCTACTGTTTCTCTTGGTTTATTAAATGTGTTTGAATAATAATGGAGATGCTGTGATTTCTTTTTCCAATAAAGATTCTGACATGACTTGTGCTTGGGATTTTTTTTTTCCTGATTTTATTTTGTATCTTGGCTGCTTTGCTGGTACTAAAGATCGAGGGTCTTTTTCACAGTTCTTTAGATGCACTCATGTTCTGCATTTGTTTTTAATTACAAATTCTTGCCATCAAAGTAAAGGCGGGTGAAGACTTAACAGCTTCCTTTCACTGAAAAGACATTATTTAATAGTAGTCAGAACTGTAGGTTTCCCAAAAGTGTTGTTTGTAAGCGGGGTCTTAAATTTAAAAACTTAAAAGTATGTGTCTGCATTTTGGGGTTTGTGTAGTTTTTAGAAAATATTTTTTATAAAGAGATTCTTCAGATACATTTGTCTGATGAATTTAATTTATTCCTTGGTAACATAATAAAAGCACTATTAGGTATTTTGTGGGATTAGGGATTCTGTTTCAGAATAGCCATCTGTGGTGGCAGAGATTCTGATTCTACCAGCAATAGAGAAATATGTAATATGGCCAAGAAGACTGATATGCAGGGAAGCTACCCGAGATACAATAAAAATAACTTCCGAAGGCAGAATGATAAATCCATACAAAAAGGGCTTTTCCAATAGAAAATAAATGAATGAAACCATGGCTTATTTATCTCTTGTCTTTTTGAGACCAATGCAACAAGATGTTTGGGTCTTATGTGTGCTATATTAAAAATCATGTAGTAGTGTTTTCAGTTATCATGGATGCCTATAATCTTGAAAAGGCACAGCAGATAGGTCCTTAATATTTTTATTCAGATGAGCTTGCCAGTGACATCATAACCAAAGGGCTTTACTCCCTCCTCCTTTGTAGTTTGAACTATGATGTCACCTGGCACATTCAGACCCCCTGATTGGCTATAAACAGGTGGAAAGTCAAGTCAAGGAGTGGGACAAGACCTCAGCTGAAAACCTTTAATCCCTGGAGCTGTAGTAGAGCACCTATTGCTAATTTACCAAGTGCAACTGACTTTTAACAGGTAAATGCAGATAATAGCACTCAGGGAAATCTACAGAATGATAGTATCACAACTTAATTATCTAGACACACGCATTGAATAGTCTTTTTTCCCTATAATTTAATTGCCTCGAATGTTCTAGTGTCTGCTCATAACAATTCCTAAATGTTTGCTTAAGTAACTATTCTGAGCTTTTTCTTCTCACAAGGGGATGTGCCTAAGGCAGAAGCTTTGTTAGTTTTAAGAACAAAACATACTTTCCTACTGGGAAAGGCCATAGCAGTCAGGAGTGGGCTGCTGGGGGGTTCGCAGGGGTTTGGGAGAGCCGCTAGCTGAGATTCTGTGCAGTTTGGAGAACCCCCAAATCCCACCCCTCCCGTCCCAGCCTGAGTCCCCACGCGGCCCGTTTTGGATGCAGGTAAGTGCAGCACACATGTGGATGCTTGGGGAGGGCAAAAAATTGGCCTCTTGGAAGTTTGGGAAGGCTGGAAATGGGCCCATTTCCAGCTTCCAGAGAGCCTCCGGAGCCCAGGGAGGCCAAAAATGCCCCCCCCCCGGCCATGGTGCAGGAGGCTGACTAGGCCACGCCCACCATGGCCATGCCCACCCAGCAACTGAGCAGAGAATCCTTCGCTAACATTTTTGAAGCCCACCCTTGCCATAGCTCCATGGTAGCATACATGATTAGAAAACTAATGCCATGCAGATTTATAAAACCATTCTGGCTTTGCATTCTTGAGCAAGCTTTTGCATTCAGTTGATGACAACAGAGGCAGTGGCAATATGTTCTGGAGTTGGGGAGTGTTACCATCAATCCCTTGCCACGGACAGATAGCTCCCTGTTGACTTTGGAGAGCAAGCCCTATGTGAATGGCCTGCCCAGGCATCTAATGTTGGGTTCCAACGAACCTTGGGGGTTCTTTCTAGGACTCTGCTACATGATTTGACTGAGGCTTCAGTTGTTGCTTGAAATGAGTAACTTTTGCTTGGATTGGATCGCATCTATGTAACCTCTGTACATGTGGATCCTAGAAGGCCCCTTGGCTTTCAGAGGAGTTCCGGGTGACACAGCAACCTAAAACGCCCTGGGAAAAATGAAGAGCAGAATCAATTCAACATAGGTAAGAGCTTTTCAGAGGTACCACTTTGTGGCAAGGGCAGCAAAACAGTTGTCATAGAGTGCCAACTAGTGGCCCTGTTCAGAGGTTCAGTTTCTACCCCAATAACATCAGTTTCTGGGCCAGGAGGCTTGGCTGGCAATGACACATGCCTTCTTAGTCACCTCTCTATTGGATTGCTGTTCTACTTGGGGCTGCCCTTGAAGAGCATTTAGAAGTTGCAATTGGTCCAGAATGCTGCGGCACAGGCATTTTTTTGTGTGTGTCTTCATCTGTGAGACCCTTTCCTAAGGCTCTGAAGACCTAGCTGTTTCCCTAGGGCCAGAAGGTTAGCCATGTACAGTTCTTGAATTTATTTTATTTATATTATTTATTTTGATTTGTCAATCGCTTACAAGATAATAGGTATAAGTATGTACATAGTTATGAATACATGAAATGGATACATATAAGAAAAATAAAAGAAACAATTGGACAGGGACGGTAGGCACGTTGGTGCGCTTATGCACGCCCCCTAAAAACCTCTTAGGAAAGGGGTGAGGTCAATAGTAGACAGTCTAAAGTTTTTGGGGTTTGGGGAAGAAACCACAGAGTCAGGTAGAGTATTCCAGAGATTGACTACTCTGTTGCTGAAGTCGTATTTCCTGCAATCAAGTTTGGTGCGGTTAACCTTGAGTTTGTATCTATTGTGTGCTCGTGTTGTTATGATTGAAGTTGAAGTATTCATTGACAGGTAAGTCATTGCAATGTATGATTTTATATACCATACTTAGAACAGACCGAAGACGGCGTAATTCAAGGTTTTCTAGGTCTAGAATTTCAAGTCTGGTGGCATAAGGTATTCTACAACGAGTAGAGGAGTAGAGAACTCTTCTTGTGAAATATTTCTGGACTTTCTCAACTGTGCTAATATCAGACACATAAAGTGGATTCCAGACTGATGAGCTGTATTCGAGTATTGGTCTAGCAAATGTTTTGTATGCTCTAGTTAGTAGTGTGATATTACCAGAGAAAAAGCTACGTAGGATTAGGTTAACAACTCTTAGTGCCTTTTTGGCTATGTAGTTACAGTGGGCTCTAGCACTTAGATCATTAGAGATGAGTACTCCAAGGTCCTTTACAGAGCTTGGATCATCAACAAGGTCTTGACTATTCAGCTTGTATTTTATTTTCTGATTTTTTTGCCAATATGTAAGACAGAGCATTTATTTGTTGAGATTTGAAGTTGCCATTTGTTTGACCATTCTGATACATAGTCAAGATCTTTCTGAAGGGTAGCGGTATTGTCTGTGGTATTGAACAGCTTTACATCATCAGCAAAGAGAATGCAGTTGCTCTTAATATGATCACAGAGGTCATTTATGTAGAGTATGAAAAGAGTTGGTCCTAGAACACTGCCTTGGGGGACACCACTGTTGACAGGTACAGAATTTGATAGGACGCTCCCAATTTTGACCATTTGTTGTCTGTTTGACAGGAATGCTTCTATCCAGTTATGCCAGTGTCCAGAGATACCATAAGATTTTAGTTTTAGGAGTAGTTTGTCGTGTACCACTGAATCAAAGGCTTTACAGAAGTCTATGTAGATTGTGTCTATTGTTTTGCCCTGGTCGAGTTGTGTAGTCCATATGTTTTTGCAGTGTAAGAGTTGCAGATTACAGGATAGTTTTTTTTCTGAAACCAAATTGTTTATTAGAGAGTAGGTTGTTTGTCTCTAAGTGGAGGATAATGGATTGGTTAATAATTGATTCCATGACTTTACAGGTGATGCAGCATAAGGAGATTGGTCTGTAATTTTCAACTAGGCTGGGGTCTCCCTTTTTTAAGATGGGGATGACCGTGGCTTGTGACCATAGGTTCGGCAAGGAGCTTGGTCCTGAAAGATTTTTCAAAGATTATGCTTAGAGGTTCTGCTATGGCAGTGGATAGCTTTTTTAAGAAGTAGGCACATATTCTGTCCAGTCCAATAGATAGAGATGGTTTTAGATCGAAGAAGAGGGCGGAGCTGGCATCGCAACGATATGGCATGCGATCTCGGAGGTCTGAGATCGCAGCCGATATCTTTGCCCCTGGACAGTCTAAATAGATTTAAACCGTCCCGAAGAGACGGCGATAGTGAAGAGCGCATCCTGTAGATCCCAGGGATATCGCAAAGTCCCTGGTTGATCCGGGAGAAGCTCTTCTTGCCAGCGCAAA